AGCTGTCCATGGTCCTTTAGTCCACAATAATGCTGGTGGAGTGTTGCAGTGGTCCTTCAGTCATAAGGGTATCGGTGTGCCTACAAGCACCCAAATTTTGATCATGTCACCATGGAGCTACAATGGTTAGAACTTTGGGCAAAGGTTGTAAATCCTTTTGTTCACTGCCATTATACTTTTAAATAGTCTCCAAATGAATGATTATAAGTAAAAAAATTGCCTGTACTGCAACCAGGTAGTCCTAATTCAAATTTAATTTGAAATTTAATTGTAAACATGGGGGAGTTGAGTTCATGGCATTCTAAGAAAACATACCCCTTATTGTTCTTGACTGTGAAATAAGCAAGAAGCTCTAAGCTGCAAGTTTGCCATCAAGTTTTCTTTCATTTTTCAGTGAAAAGTTTTCCTTTTCATTGCCAAATGCTCCTTATGTTTCATGTCATATAACTGCATGGGATGAACAATTACTGCTTTTCAGTGATTTTTCAATTGATATAATGGCTATGGGGTTAAGTTAGAAACCAGGAGATGATGTTCTAGTCCTTCATTAGATACGATAATCAGGTAGGAGTCTTTGGGCCAGTCACTCTCTCACCCCACTATAGCAAAGTTCATTATATCTCCTATATTCAAATATTTTCCTTAAGAAGAAGTATTATAAAATCTTAGTTATTACACAAAAAAGGTGTTGTGTTGGTATATGAAAGGCTACTCCATTTTTGTAGTTAATTCCAGGGACTGAAATTCTCCCTTCTGCCCTGGAGCATGATATCTCACCAAGAACAATCCCTGAAATTTTCAAGCTTTTTATAAAGATAATAAAATTTGGAGGAAAGCAGATGTTGAAATGGCTTCTAGTTTCAATTGTTGAAATATACAAACAAATTGGGCAATTAAATGCTGGAATTGCCCCAGATCTGAACTGATACAAATACATCCTAAGTGTTGAAATCTAGTGATGATTTCACTTTCCACTTACTTTGATAACTTACCCTGCATTTCTGGAGACTGGGTTTCAGCCGTATATTATCCACATCTGACAGAAGAAGGAAAAAGAAAATTCAGCTAATTACCATGCAGTGAGTTGACCTAGCATAATAAGTAAGAACTATGCCAGACAACTTTACTGGAAGTTCTTGGATAATTAGAGGGTACAGACAGGTTTTGCTGAAATTTGTCTGTTTTAGATACATGACCGATGTCTACACCTGTGATTAAAAGATACATTTTGGTGTCAAAGTCCGTGGATTAGAAACTTTTGCAAACAATGTCATTACTTTTTTATATACCTGTGGATTACAAGCTCTATCTATAGGCAACCTCACTAGTACTCACCTTCTATCCAACATTAGCTGCAGGAGGGACTAAAAGACTAACATTTTAAAATAGACATTTTTGGTATATATATATTTAAAAAATTCTTCTAAATTTTTTGGAAATTTAAAAATTTAAATTTTTAGATAAACTTCTTAATTTTTTTTGAAACAACCCTTTTAAATTATTAAATATTTTTTATAAAATAGATTTTTTTTGAAATTTTTAAATGTTTAAATGATCCTTTAGAATTTTTTAAAAATATGAAAGAACAAACAACTACCAGAAAATTTCCATATATGTAAACTTTTAGGCATAGACCTATGTCACTCATAGAAGAAAACAACAACCAAGAGTAATGTCTGGTATGTCCTGAGTAATGTCCCTGCTATATAGTGTGGCCCAATCCAGTATGACCTCACTAGAGCTGAGCAATTGATTTCATATCCTTTTCCTGGAAGAAAGCATGTAGATATCTGGAGAAGGGACATCTTCAAGTGTTTGAGACTTGAGACTTTCAAGAAAAGATTGCACTGCCATTTGTCAGAAATGGTGTAGGGTTTCCCACTTGGACTAGATGACCTACAAGGTCCCTTTCAACTCTGATTATCTGTTATCTGTTTCTGACAGGAAGAAAAGTAATCCAGATTTTCTCAGGAAAAAAAAGGGAGTGTTGCTAATAGGGCAATCTCTTCTCAGGGGAATGAAATCAGTAATCTGTAGGCCAGACAATCAATCTAGGGCAGGGGTGTCAAACTCATGTCCTCATGGCAGCATCATGTGACATACTGGGACTTCCCCCCCCTTCACTAAATTGGGCATGGGCAGGGTTAACACATGATGCATCTGGCCCACGGGGTGGGAATTTGACAGCTCTGATCTAGGGATTTACTATGAAGATGTGACTGAGAGCCTACACATTACTATCTCTTTCTTTTCTTTCATGTGGAGATGAATGACACAATTATGAACCTGAAAACAATATAAAGAGACTATTGCTTGGCAGGAAAGTTAAGAAGTTAGGAGGATAGGTGGTGTTTTCATCTGTACTTCTAACAAAAGATCAACATCCAATGAGGAAACGAAGGATTTTAGAAATAAATCACTGGTTTAAAGGATGATACGATCAAGTAAACTTTGGATTCAAAGACCACGATTTGCATTACTTACATGAAGGGGTTTTGACAAGGGATGGACTGCATCTCACAAGAACCTTGAAGAATGTATTTGGAAAATGATTGACCCTGTTGAGGTAATTCCCCTTGAGGAGAATGAGCGCATACAGGGAGACGTATAGAGAGTAGTGTTTGAATAATAAACACACAGCACACAGATACACTGTACAGTAAATGTAGGTTTTTACTTCCAGAAACTTTTAAGCAAAGTTTAAAACAAGCAGTTCAAAGTCATTCACAGGTTAAATCAGTCGGTTTTCAGTCCAGGGATAATCCAATAACAAAGTCCAGTGTCAAAAACAGTTCAGTATCAGACTTACATCAAATCCAAGAATATCAGTCAATTAGAAGAAATGGAGGAACGGCAATACTCTCCAACAGAAGGAAACAGAGAGACTCACTGAGACACACTCTCTTCTGAGACTAAGACTAAGACAACTCAGGTTTCTGGCTCCATCCTATGGCCGTTAGAGAAATCACACCCAATTACAAATTTTGCATTTTCTTAGAGACAGTATTAAAATGTCTATCCTGGTTTGTATATTGTCCAACCCAAATAGCTGTTAGGTGGCTTACATTCCTAACAGACTCAGCTTATCCAAAGGGCTTTAAACTAAAATTGAGGGAGGGCTGTGATCAATCTTTAGGATCATTAGGGCCTAATTCCAAGCACAAACCCCAAGACAACCAATCAAAAAAGGAGGTAAGGATGGTAGAAAGATATAAAAACTCAGATATAAAGCAGGAGATATAAGAAGTATACCCAGGGCCAGCCATAAAGGACTCAGATGCATTTACACCAATGCTCAAAGTTGTACAAACAAGGTGAAATTGAAGTATTAATATACAAGGGCAGGTATGATATAGTTGAGAATATAATAGAACAGAACAGAACAGAAAATAAAATAAAACCTAGCTCAAAAACAGAAACTGTGAGAGGGACCTTGGAGTCTTAATGGATGATCAATTAAATAAGACCCAGCAGTGTGTAGCTGCAGTGAAAGAAATCGACTACAATCCTTGGTTGTATAAGCAGAAGCATAGAATCAAAATCACATGAAGTATTTGTACCACTTTATAAAACTTTAGTAAGACCACACCTGGAATACTGCATCCAGTTTTGGTTACCACATTACAAAAAAGATATTGAGACTTTGGAAAAGTACAGAGAAGAGCAATTAAGATGATTAAAATTAGGGACTAAAACATATGAAAAATGGTTGCAGAAATTGGTTATGGCTAGTCTAGAAAAGAGGACTAGGGATGACATAATAGCAATATTCCAGTATTTGAGAGGCTTCTACAAACAAAAGGGACTCAATTTATTTTCCAAAGCACCAGAAGGCAAAGTAGGAAACAATGGATGGAAACTAATTCAGGAGAAAAGCAAACTGGCAATTAAGGAGAAACTCCTTAACAGTGAGAACAATTAATCAGTGGAACAGTTTGCCTTCAGAAGTTGTGGGTGCATCATCAATGGAGGTTTTTAAGAAGAGATTGGACAATCATTTATCTAAAAGGGTATAGGGTCTCCTGCTTGAGCAGGGGATTGGACTAGAAGACCTCCAAGGTCCCTTCTAGCTCTATTCTGATTGATTGTAGGGGATTTAATCATTTCTCAACTATATTACAACTTTTGGGGTTACGCTTATCTTACAGATCTTAGGCTAAACTGTGGAAAGATACTCCAACATATCTGGAGAGGTACCAGTTTAGGGGTTTCTGCACAGCTTACTACCATGATACCAATAGATGAGAATATTTGTAGCTCAGGGTTGAAAGGAGGTGCTCTCTGAGGGGTTGGGTTTTTTTTTGTTGCAGATATTTATTTCAAACTAAGTAACATCATCAGCCCTAGACATCATCAGGATTAGCACTGACAATGTTACCTAGCTTGGATAATGAAATGTCTGAAAGAAAACAACCAAGCTCAGAGAGCACCACCTTGAAAACATTTGGGAGGAAATGATGTTGTTAAAATAAATAAATAAATAAATAAATAAATAAATAAATAAATAAAGCATTTATTCTGTTCTTGATGATTATGCAGATATCAGAAATAGATGCCCACTGAGATGCCTTATGGAGTATACAAAACCTTTTGATAGGATAAATTAGAAAAAATATCAACATCTAAATAAAAAACATTATTAACCAACTTTGCTAAAACAACCGTTTTACAGTGGCTTGAACTTTTTTTGTAACTTCCAAATATTGTTTAAGACCAGGTGTGTAGGGGGAAGTGAAAACCACGTTTTTCAGGTATTGCAAGTATTGCAAATATTACTGCATTATTTCTAAACTAAATATATGGAGCATAAGGCTTATGAAAGGGTAATTACATTGTGAAAACTAGTGGTCAACTTATGTACATATTTACCCATATTCGTAACTGCTGCAGGAGTCTTTAGCCATATAAGGCAAAGTGTGTGACACATGACAGATTCAGGATTGTGAGTTTTGTGGTTTGGGAGTATAAAAGAGCTGGCTGTATTCAACAATATCACACAGGCTTTGAGGGCAATCTCCCTGTGTCTTTCTAAGCAGAATAAAGAAATATTGCTTCAATCTTTACCATAGTGAATTCCATTTGGTTTCAACGCACAGTCTTAAAGGACCCAGTGTGGGCTGGTACATCCTTCTCCAGGGGTGTCAAGTGCATTTAGAAAGAAAATGGCCACAATTGCAGCATTTTTTTTATTCAGTACTCTTCTTCAATCACTTTTTGCATCAGGTAAGGAAAATACACTAATGTTTTGATTCGTTTCACCTGGGATAGTGTATCATTGATCTTTGCTTTAGGAAATTGATTTTCAGAGAGTATTTATTTAGATAATTTGTATAATGTTTGGATATATTTCCTACTTCTAATCAAGGGAATAAGTGAATGCTTAGCAAGGAGCTTCTTGAATTCTGGTATTGTCTTTTTTCCATTTTAGTGCCTCCTCCCTGTGTCTTTCCATTTATTTACAATGGAAAATCCTACAGATCTTGTACTGAAGATGCAAGCCAGAACCGCCCATGGTGTGCCACAGTTGCAAACTATGATCAGTATAAAAAATGGAAGTATTGTGCCACTAAAGGTTTGACATATTTATATTTCTGTGCTACCTTACTCAGTAGGGTTAGGAAATATAACAGTAATCCTGAAACAGTCAGGTGATTCCTTTTATAATGTTTCTGGTTTAATCTAGTATAGAATTAAAACAGGCATTGTAGATCAGCGGTCACTAACCAGTAGGCTGTGGCCCACTGGTGGGCCATGAAAAAATTTGGGTGGGTCGCAGAGAAATCTCACCCCCAGAGCACCCCCCCCAAAAGCAATTAATCCAGGCTGTGCAGAAACACTTGACCCACGGGAACCCTCCCTGCCCATTCACTCCTTATCTGGCAAACTTGCCTGATAAATTGCTATTTTTCCTTTTTCCAACCATCAGCTGTTCTGCTGTGCTGGGAGATTTTGATTAGCTAGGAAGCAGGAAATAATTGGATTTCTTGCTTTCTAGCTTGTCTTTAGATCTTTGGCTCTGCTTTTAAGCACAGCCAAACCTCCCTTAGGACTGAAGGTTCTATTATTCAGTGCAGACTCACAGCAAACAAATTTTATGTGACAAACTCAGGTAGCCGATGGCAGATAGATAGATCACTGAATGATTCTGTGAGCAACTCAATCTGCCTGCCTGCTTTGCCTGCTTTTGGGTAAAAGTTGCTCTTTTTTTTAAATAAAATCAATATTTATATAAATATTTATAAAATTTACATACAAGCCATGCCCAGCCAGTCACATGACCACTAAGCCACACCCACAAATTAGGCCATGCCCACAGAACCAGTTAGTGGTTCCTGGGATTTAAAATTATTAGTTTGGTCCCTGAGATCCAAAAGGTTGGCGACCCCTATTGTAGAGTGTTTGTCTGAACTTTAGTAAGCTTAACCTAGCTTCACCACCACAATGTAACTGCCCATCAATGTGAAGCTTAATTATACAAGATTAAAAAGATATAATTTGGATGACAAGTCATTTAATCTCTCTCCCAGAAGAGAGCTCTGTGTCTCAAAGTATATACTTGAAACTGGTAGCCTGCAATACTGCATTGTAACCACTGTGCCACCATGACTCATTAGATGTATGACTCTTCAAATATACACATGATAAAGGGGCTCAACAATATGGAAGTAAAATCTGAAATAATATGGTATGGAAGAATGCTAAAATTATACACACACACACATATACATAATTTTATATAATATATATATATATATATATATTTTATTGCTTTGTCTTTTGCTTAGAATATGGTGGTAATTCTGGTGGAAAACAATGTACATTCCCCTTTACATACAAGAAACGAACGTATTATGCTTGCACAAATGAAGATGCAGAAATAGGAAGATTCTGGTGCGCAACAACTGGGAGTTATGATAAGGAGAAACAATGGAGCTACTGTGCTGATACTAGTAAGATAACTGTGTGGTGTTAGCTTATTTGGTGTAATAGGCATGGGTAGGTTACTTGTACACAAAGGCAAGTAAAGGAAAGAGACTTTTTAATTGATAAAAAATGGATAAAAAATGTTGAGAATGGTGCAGAAATGAATACATTTTTGAGGAACGGAGAAACAATACTGTGTAGTTTAGAGGCAGGGCATTTAACCAACGTCCTTAGATCAAGTCCCTTACATCTTGAGAAATAGATTAATAAAGGTAATGGGAACTGATAATGTTCAATATAAAACACAAACAATGGTTTAATTAGAGTGGGCAATTAATTTTACCAAAGGGCCACATGAGGAACTGGGGGTGTTGTGAAAGCCCAAACCAATAACTCCTGACTACACACCACCCATTCACCTGTAAGGTGGTGCTTTGAGGATATGGCAGTGGGTGGCTGAGCTCAGGCTGTCCCATATGATAACCATGGGTGCCTCTTCCATCTGCTCCAAGTGAGGGGTGAGCATTATGCAGAAAAATACTTTCTCTCCTTGTCTTCCTGTGGCTGTAAGTGGTGATTGCACAGAGCCTAATCTGGGCTTCTTTTCCCAACTCTTGGAGAGCACTTACAAGTAGTCCTCAATTTACAACAGTACATTTAGTAACTGTTCAAAGTTACAATGGCACTGAAAAAAGTGACTTATGACTGTTTTTCACAGTAACAAACTGTGCAGCATCCCTATGATGTGATCAAAATTCAGATGCTTGGCACCTGGTTCATACTTATGACCATTGCTGTGTCCCAAATTCATGTGATCATCTTTTACAATCTTCTGACAAAGTCAATGCCAAAGCCCGATTCACTTAACAACCATGTTACTGACTTATTAACTGCAGTGATACAGTTAATAACTCTGGCAAGAAAGGGTGTAAAATGGGGCAAAACTCACTTAATTTTTTCACTAAATAACATACATTTTGGGCTCAATATTGGTCATAAGTTGAGGATTATGTGTATTTACATTTGATTTCTAATTTCTAATTTGCCCCACATAGGCCCGAAGGACAGCTAAAGAGCTGGATGTGATTGGAGGCCATAAAATGCCTAATTCTAGTCTATTATATCAGTATCTCCAATTTGAATAGTCATATGAGACTAAGTGATGTGGTTCACCTTTTCAAGTAGAAAGATTAGTTTTTAGTATAATTTCTGATATACTGCAATTTAGTCAAAAATACTTTAACTCAAATGCTGAACCCAATAATCGGTGACTCTTTTACTCATTTTTTTCATCACTATTCAGGACTAGCTGCAAATTCACAGGGGCCTTGTGTGTTTCCTTTTATCTACAAGGGGCAACCCTACTACGCTTGCACAAAAGCTGGGTCTTCTGATGGAAAGCTCTGGTGCTCTTTGAGCAGCAACTATGATAGAGAACCAAAATGGACTTACTGTACACCCTCAGGTATGGAAAAACTTGGATGATAGAAGGAAAGACTTTGGACAATCCTGCTAACTAGCTCTGCTAGTTAGCAGGACTTGATTCTCCCCTTTGGGACAGGGGAGAATCAAGTACAAATCTACACTAAGTTGCAAAAACTATCTGGATCACTTTATACCAATTACCATTTATCCATCCAATCTGCCTCTGAAGACTGCCTTGGGGATGACATTGAAGAACAGAGCATAGAAATATGTTGTATATCTGAAGTAAGACAATACAGGTCTAAATAAGTCATTTTTTCCCTTAGAAATTGATTCTTCAGGGCTATAAGAACATATCCATGTTGTTTTTTTGGCAACACATTGGAACTGATTTGCCATTGTTTTTTCTATATATTTTGTTGTTGATATGTTGATGTGTTTTCTTTGTAACAATGAGATTTCTTAGTGACCTGCACCCCACTGATAGCCAGAAATGACTTGCTTAGTTTTTCATGGTTGGTCAAGTGCTGCTACCTGTTCTGATTAATACACATCTAATAAGAAGATGTGGTAGACGTGCATTGAAAAATGCCATTAAGTAAACAATTTCGTTGGACTATTTGAAGCAGAAAGAAGAACCTCAATAGTTGAGAGTTGTAGCTGGGGGTGAAAACAGGACAACTGAAGGTGAGATAACAGACTGTTGATCCATTAATTTCTATGGAAAGAAAAATTAAAAGAGGTATTACTGTACAGAAAATATTGTGATCAGATAGTATCTTAGTTTGAATTTTTATTACAAGTTTATACATTTTTATTTTCTTAGTTCACTTTTACGTAGGGCAGAATTATTAGGAGTCACTGGGCAAATAACCAACTGAACTGAAAAAAATATAGTTTTAAATATTTAAAATTAAAATCAATTTGTAACTATTTAAATTGAAAGTACTAGCTGGGCCAATCTGATAGTCTATTTAGTAGTGTGGAACTCACAAATGTATCAGGACATAAGGAAGTGCAGTGCTATGGATCCAGAGTTGATACTGTGCTTTGGAAGTAATAAGAAGCTGCAGATTTCCCTGGGATTCTAGGAAAATGCACATCTAAGGTTAAAGAGATGCAGCCATATGCAGTTGCTGCTCCAAAACACCTTTTTGGCTTTTGATCTAAGCCCTGACCATCCCTATCAGGATTGTGAGCTATGAGATACTCAGCAGCTGTGGACCACCATTGGCCATGAGTTCACCAAGGAAGACAAAGTGTTTTCCTCAAGATGTCCTGGTAGTTATTTGGTAACCTTTTAGGACTATAGGAATTAATCTTCAGCTATCAAGCTATTCCTTTGTTAGAGGAGTTAGGAATTCACGGTGAGAATAACCTTGGAAGATGGGGGAACAGGGCAGTGAGACTGATTGAATAAAAATCACCTTAATCCATAGAACAAACAAGAGGGGCCCACCTCAAATTCTTGGAATGTAAAGGTAAAAAGGGAAATGAACTTTCAGACTTGCAAGACTCTGCTAATGTAACCTCACATACAGTAGAATTAATCCATCTGGTCATGTTTCCTGACCGGACTACCACATTACCGTGACAGAAATCAATCAATTTTAGCAGGAAGATACAGTATATATGTAACCATTTAAGCATGTCTATTTTTTAATTGATAAATTCATTTTCAACAGTTATGTATGGCATACAGAATGTCTTAATAAATTCTATTCCACCTTGAATCTTAATCATCCCATTGCTCATCCAATTATCTGTTTTAAGATTGCTTCTTTTGGGGGTGCTGCTTCATTTCTTCCCCCATTATTTTTCCTTTTCAGAATTAGGTCCTTGCAAATTTCCCTTCCGATTCAACAACAAATACTACTATCGTTGTACAAGAGAAGGTGCATCTGATAGCCTATTGTGGTGTGCCATAACTGCAAACTATGACAAGGACAGTAAATGGAGGGCATGTGCCACTGAAGGTAGGAGAAACAACAGTCCTTCCCCACCTCAAAATCCAGAGACTCTGAATAGCTGCAATGATATTTCAATGGAACAAATGTCCTGTCAGGGGGTAGTTTCCATGGAACATGGGAAATGCAAATTAAGATCTTCAATTACAGATAAAAAAGAAGTTCAGATTAAGGATGGGAAAACAAGTCAATGTGGGTCAAATGAAATATTTTAAGTGGATGGGTGTGAAAGTAGAAATGAAAAAAATAATAATAGTAAAAATGAATGCACTGGAGTGGAAGAATTAATTCTAGGTGAGGGACAACAATAACATTAGCTGAAATGGAGTAAACAACAAGTATTGTGGATGGTATGACAGGGTAGAGATAGGATACAGAGCATGGCTTGTGGAATTCTTTCCAACTCTTTTACTGCAGTGGTCACACATTTCTGTGTCTGTATGAATTTAGGAAACAGAAGGTGGACTATGTTTGATCCAAACTGGGCCACATGATGAAGATTAAAGCTTAGACAAAAGCAGCCATCCATATGTCAAGCTTCTCCCATTTGTTTCTACATAGGAATTCCTCCAAGGAGATTTCATTTTTTTTCCTACTGCCATGCTTCTTCCAATCTGTTTTACAATGGATCTTTCTTTTGCTCCCTTCTCTTGATTTCATTTTGTTCAGTTTTCAGACAACTATCATGATAATGTTCAGAGTCCCCTCTCCTCCACATACTTATTTTTGAAAACTTTATGACTCATAACCTGGTCGCCTCGTGCTTAGACTATTTTAGAATGCTTTACATAAGACTATTGTTGAAAATTATTTGAAAGCTACAACCGACAGAAAATGTTACAGCGGTTTTAGGAATGTTTAGGGTAGCCCGTATAACAACTCTGTTGCAGGAGCTATACTGGTTTCAGTAGACCTGAAAGGAGCCATGAGTAAAACTAGCATTCTATTTTTATACCTCAGGATGTATGAAATTCTAAACAACAGTACAATTATTGGTTACAAATTTCTTATAATCAATATACCACACATGTAAGTAATGCTGTTCAACTTGGAACAGTATGTGTACAGGTAGTGCTGTTCAGGTGTTCTTAGCATGACCTATACCCTTAAAACCCTGTTTGCCCACAGCCCAAACTAAGTATCATGTTGCCTTACTTTTCCAGCAACAGGTCTTTTTGCAACAATCTTCTAGATACTTCTCTAGCTGCATCTTACACTTATGTTTTCTTGGTAATGTCTTCTTTTAGCCTAATCAAGCATTCATATCTTGCTTTGTCCTTAGCAAAGCATCTTGCAACTTCCTTTTCCAATGTTGGTTCTAGTAGGTAGGTAGGTGGGTGGCGTGGGGAAGAGAGAGAGAAAGAGAAAGAGACAGACGATTTTGCAAGAAAAGAGGTTAAAGATAAAATTTGGAAAAAATGGAGTTTGGGATCCTAGGCCTGGATAAGATTAAAGTTTACCCCAATATAAAGGCTACCCCTTTTTTATTTGTGTGTTTCCAATATGTACAGAATATGAAGGCAATTCTAAAGGCAAGCGCTGTGTCTTTCCATTCATCTACAATGGGAAAAGATTCAATTCTTGCACCAATCAAAATTCACAGGATGGAAGATTTTGGTGTTCTGTCACAAGTAACTATGACAAAGACCGGCAATGGAGCTACTGTGCTGATACAAGTAAGATAAATCAGAAGTTGCTCTATGAATCATTAATCAGAATATGGAAGTCCCTTAAACTATTTGGGTGCAAATTTTTAGCTGACGTACCAAATTTAGGAATAATGTCTACATAATGTAGGAAAATAAATGTGCCATAGTGATTATTGTAAACTAAAAGAGAAGAAAAAAAGTGTCTTTGAATTGGATGGGAGTCAATCTTTATTTTATTGATATCATTATCCTATTTAGTTAGAAATCAAAGGTAGCTCTTAATTAACTTGTATGCCACCTCTAGGCAACTTTAGGCATCTTACATATTAGATTTAAAACCAAAAATTTAATAATATAAAGAATAATTGATAATACTAATGGCACATCAAAGAAAAACAAAAATAAGGAATCCAGTTACTCATTAAGTAATATAAATCCAATACTACAGTGTAGATTATGAAACACTCTGTCCTAAAAGCCAGGTCCTTAAAGATGTATGAACATGTTGCAGAGTCAAGGGTGAATAGAATTCAGGAAGAATGCTATTTCAGAGAGTGGGTGCAGTTACAGGGGAGGGCCATCTCCTAGGTCCTGCAAGATGACATTGTTCTACATTTGGGATTTGGAGTTTGCCAATGTTACCAAATTTTAATGACTGGACAGAAGTTGCAAGAGAAGGGCATGATCCTGTAGATATTCAGGCTATAAGCCATTTGATAACCTATTATGTCTTAAAAAGAAGAAATACTGTTTCCTTTTTACTTAGAAAATAGCTAAACTGTATCTATGTATATTACAGAACTGACCATCTGCCATTCTTTCTAGGACTGTAGACCAGGAAGGCCTGTTGGACAATATGTGTGATTCCTCAGGTAGGACAAAATTGGAAAAGGGACAAGAAAATGCTTGAGATACTAAAGTTAGGTGGGGAAAAGATCTGGTCACGGACGTCTTTTTAGCACAGTAGAAAATAATAACATAACAACCTCAACTTGTTTACTTTTATGCAATAACACATACTAGACATTTCTATAATAACAAACCTATCTAATCAGCAAAACCAAAATCAAAGATTCCTTTCTTTCCCATCACAAGCACAAAATCCAGAAGCAGTTTCCAAATGGAAGCAAAATTAAATATGTTCTTTATTGTGAATAACAGAATCAATTTAATTGTTACCCTTTTTTCTTGCTGTGGAAAATAATATGTGTTTCTGTTTACGTTTATTAATCATTATGGACTATAATAATTGATGTTAACATAATTTGTTACATTCTCTCAGATTCTTTAATCTTGAAGGGAAAAACATTTTTTTAAAATAATTTTAAAACTCTAAACTTTTCTTTGAAAATATTTCTAAAATCAATGAATTCTAAATTCTAATACATCTTTTTTATTTTCTTTTAAATTAATATATTCAAATTAATTTTCAATAATATTTTACAAGCTTTAGAAATAACTCAAGTGTTGTCTATGAAAAAATTTAACTTACTTTTATAAACAGAAAATTACATTCAAGGTTTCCGTCAAAATATATATATATGTGTGTATATGTTTTCTGAGGTTCTCGCGGGTATTTATATGTGGATCTTTGGTTGTTCGGGTTTTCTCCCGCGTAAGATTGGAAGTATCGAGGCAACGTTTCGATGAAGTCTCATTCATCATCTTCAGGCTTCTGTCTTCGGCTCTTGCTTCTCAGAGTGATGTGAGATTGCAGCTGCTTCTTCCTTTTAACTGCCAGTGGGGGTGGGACTTGATTGGATGGGGGCTTGGCTGTGTTCTGATTGGGTGGGGGTGTGTTCTCAATGGTAGGGGGCTTGGCTGTGCTCTGATTGGTTGGGGGGTTGGCCGTGTTCTGATTGGTTGGAGGCGTGTTCTGTTCAGGTGGGGGCCTGGTTGTGCTCAGGCTAGTCTTAGTTGCTGGGGGATTTGAGTTGGTGAGCTGTGATCTTGCTGTTTGGCTTCGAGTTCGTGGTGGTGCTGCATCTTCATAGTGGGTGTCGGTTTGCTTCATGTATGGCTCGGAGGGGTTTGAAGTGGGTAGTGATGCAGCTGCAGTGCAGCTTCTGGTCCATGGTCGTGTCTCATCTTCTGAATGGGTGTGAGTCTGTTTTCTACATGGAAGTGTGGTGGTGGCATCTTGTGTGGCTCTCATGGGTGTGGGTCTGGTGTCATTCTTCATGTTAGGTACTCGTCTGTTCATGAGGGCGGGTTTCCAAATGGCTGGAAGGCGGGAGGTGTCATCTCGTTTGTTCATGCTGTGTGGGCGTTTTTCTATCTCTATGGCTTCTCTGATTATTCTGCTGTTGAAGTGTTCAGTTTTGGCAATAGTTCTGGTCTTTTTAAAGTCATTTTATATATATATATATGTATGTTTTCTGAGGTTCTCGCGGGTATTTGT